GGATAGAGATGATTCCCGCGACAGATGGGAATCCAACAGGGATCGTCGTGGTGGATACGAGAGGACAGAGCGAGGTGGAGGTCGCCGGGAAGACCCGCGCGGGCAGTCTGATCGAGGAGGGTATCCTGCGTCACCTGGGTATCCAAAGTCTCTTAACTATCCCAAGTCCCCAGGACTGTCCACCCAAGATGCCAGACCCGCAAGAGGACCAACTATTAGGAGCACGGAAGAGCGACCCCGTACTCCTAGGAATTCCTGCATCTATTGCAGGGCCGATGATCACGTGGAGAGGGAATGTCCTGGCCTCAGGCGAGCAATAGAAGAAGGACTTGTCGTACTTCATGATCGCAAATACGTCAAGTGGGCAGATGATCTTGGGGACATATCAATGTTCCCTTCGATGAAGGAGAACGTTGAGGCCAGGCGTGTACGACCAAGTCAGGGTAAAGAGGTGGCAAGGAGTCAGAGTGTGCGATTTAGTTTGCCTTCGGATAATGGGGCGCCGACGACACCTATACGCGTAGCGACGACTAAGTCTGCAAGGACGTCTTCCTCTAAGAAGGCTGACACGGATTACGTGATGCCAGAGAAGGATGAGCAGAGGATTGAAGGAGAGGAAGTTGTATTTTCGCCGCGCAAGCGTGGGGCCCGGAAGTTTACTATGAAGAGCACCTTGGACGATATCGATACAGCAGAGCCTCTCAGACGCGCGCTTAGGCAACCAATGCAGTGCACGATACTTGAGTACTTGGCGGCTTCGAGACCCGCGCGGGATGAGCTACAGATGATCACGCGCAAGACACGTATTCCTATGGGAGACGAAGTCCAGATAACTTTCAAATCGGAGGTACCCTCGGTGGCGGTATCGAGGGTGTGCACGAAGACAGAGCGCGCAGCAACAGTGTATTTAAATGGAATGGAAGGTGTGTCTCCTGACAAGTTTTACATATTAGGGAGTGGGACAGTAGAGACCATTCTCAACGACGAGGTCGTCCTCCATGCGGTGATTTACAATGGCAGCGAAGCTGTCATCATAAATGAGGAGCTCGCTGTGCGATTAGGGTTGGACCTCGACAGGTCTTACCTGTTCGAGATAGAGACAGTCGATGAAAGAAAGCAGAAGATCTTCGGGGTCTGTCACAAGGCGGCCATTGAGGTCGAAGGATTGTGCGTGTTGATGCCTGTTTTCGCAGTCAGGGACTGCAGTTCGGAGTTACTATTGGGGCAAACATGGTTAAGCCATGTTCATGCAGTTACTATAGAGCGGCCGGACGGAAGTCAGATGCTTTCTATCAAGCGTCTGGATGGTGGGCAGATTATGATAGAGACAGTTGAGCCGTGTGATCTCAGGAACAGAGCAGCTCTAGCAGCTGGTGGCCGCAAGCCGGTCACACTTGCGAGTCGTTCCTTGCGATTCCGGAAAAAGAAGTATGGGGCATTGCTCACGGAGGAAGAAGAATGGATAGTGGAAGTCGAGGACTTAGGTAATTGGGTCCTTGTGGGAGAAAACTCCTATCCTAAGGTTGAAGATGAGGAATTCGGAGGCATGATCTCTGTGTTTTTTTTTAAGGGCGCAGCCCCCTACGGAGGGCGGCCAAAGAAGCACAAGACAGTAGCTCAGAAAGTTAAGCCGGCGGCGGTAGCCCGAGAACGATCTCCACTAGATGGGGTATCTGAGGACGAGATCGCTGGGAAGATTAAAGAGAGGAAGAATAAGGAGCCGCAACGGCTGACAGAGGAAAGGATAGCGGAGATGGATATAGGAGATAGAAATTTGACCAAATAAGAGAAGGAGCGCGTGCTAGAAGTACTTATGACTTGCGACAAGGCTATAACTTTTAGTGACACGGAAAGAGGGAGGATCGATCCTAGGTATGCCAAACCTACTAGGATCTACACGGTCCCGCATACTCCATGGAATGATGCAGGGTGGAAGTTGGCTCAGAAAGAGAAGGAAGAAGTAATCGCCTTTCTAAAGGAGAAGATGGCCTCACACGTGGCGGAACCGTCTGATAGCACGTATGCGAATAAGTGGTTCTTCTTATGGAAGCCTCATGGTAAGATTCGGTGGATTCAGGATCTTCATAAGGTTAATGCAGTTACAATTTGGGATGTGGGCTCCATACCGCACGCTGATCTGTTAGCGGAAGGAGCGGCAGGCAGATCGATTTACTCTGTCTGTTATCTATTTTCAGGATATGATGAGATACCCTTGGATCCCAGGGATAGGCATCTCACTGTCATGCACACACCACTCGGACTAGTGCAGATGATGGTCGTACCCATGGGGTGGACCAATGGGGTTGCAGTCTTCCAGAGAGCTATAGTAACTATTCTGAAGGACTTCATCCCTGATAAAGTTGAAGTCTTTCTAGACGACTTCCCGATAAAAGAGCCCGTACTGAAAGATGAGACGGAGGTTGCTCCTGGCATCAAGAGGTTTGTAGAGCAGCACCTGACACACATCTACACGATTCTGGAACAGCTAGATGAAGCTAACTTGACGGTCAGTGGAACGAAGAGCCGGTGGGCTGTCTCGACGATCAAGATTCTACGGTTCATATGTGATTCGAGAGGGCGCCGAGCGGGACCCCGCAAAGCTAGATAAACTCTTGAACTGGCCGACACCATTGCATAGTGCTACCGAAGTCCGCCAGTTCTTGGGAATCGTGGGTTACTGGCGGATTTTCATACGTGGATATGCCGAGAAGGCGGAACCTTTGTGAACTCTCCTTAGGAAGACGGAGCGGTTTTACTGGGATTCTCCTTAGGAGCTTGCGATACAAACCCTCAAGGAAGAATTTAAAGAAGGAGGACGAATCCTAGGTGTGCCATTTTTCGAGGACGAGACCAACAGGTCGTTCAGAGTGTCTACGGATGCTGGGTCATGTTCGGTTGGAGGACTGCTTTCTCAAAAGGACGCTGACGGTAAGGAGAGGCCGCTGAGATTCGAGAGTCGTATGCTCAACACCGCTGAATGCAACTACAATCAATTTAAAAGGAGGTGCTAGCCGTTCTACGGTGTTTAGACGCCTTTAGGCATTACATATACGGGAGACGATTCATCCTACGGGTAGACCCTACGGTTGTGGCGTCAGTTTTACAGAAGGACTTCAGTCTGACGGATCCTACGATTGCGCGATGGCTGATCAGGATCCGACTCTACGATTATACTATAGAGAAAATCTCGAAAACGAAGAATGCGGTTGCTGATGGACTTTCGCGAATCCCAATCGAGGCGGAGCGTCCGATAATGGCGGTTGCACTGACTATGACTGAGCCTAGACAGACAGATCGTTTCCTGGTCAACCTTTATGAAGGAAAGTACCGGACTATAAAACTGTATCTGTCAGGAGGTGAGAGTTTTGATCCGGAGATTAGGAGACAAGCGGCACAGTACTGCCTTAGATCTGGGCATTTATTCCGTAGACCCACGAGATCAGGAATGCCTTTACGAGTGATCTGTGATCCGGAGGAGAAGCGGTTCATAGTAGCGGAACTGCATGACCGTGTGGTTGGCGGACATAGAGGAGTGAAAGGGACATATGAGAAGGTCCGCTGGTTATACTGGTGGGAAGGACAGTACAAGGACGTCGAGAAGTATTGTGTGACATGTGAGGAGTGTCAGAAGAGATCCCTAGTTAGATACAAGGAGCCACTTCATACTTCCTATCCGACTAGACCAGGTGAAAAGGTACACATTGATCTAGTCAAGATGCCGAAGGGCATAGGGAATATGAATTACGTCGTGAACATCAGAGATGACTTCACTCGATTTGTCGACGGTAAGGCCATCAGAACAAAGGCAGCTAAAGAGGTCAAAAACTTTGTTCTAGAATATATGTTTAGATATGGGTGCGTCGGTAAGATTGTGATGGATAGAGGAGCGGAGTTTCTAGCGGATGAGGTCCAGAATGTGTTCAAGAAAGCATGAGCTAGAGTGTCTATAACTACTGCCCATCACCCTCAATCCAATGCTCTTGTAGAGTGAGGACATCAGTCCTTGATAGCGTCCCTATCCAAGTGGTGTAAGGGTAAAGATAATGATTGTCCAAAATACTTCCGGTATGCAATCTGGGCGGATAATGTCACAGTTCGAGCTAGCACAGGATACCCGCCTTACACTCTATGGTTCGAAAGGCACTGCCCTCTGCCTATAGAGTTTCACGTTGATAGCTGGACTACAGTTGACTGGGCGGATAGAATGTCACGAGAGGAACTTTTGGCAGCTAGGACTAGACAGATAGCCTACGGATTGGAGGACAATCTAATGAGCGCGTCAGATCGATTGGCAGTGGAGAGAGGTAAAGGCAAGGAAAAATGGGATAAGGATGTCAAGGTTAGAAAAGAGAAGATAACCATGGGCGACATGGTACTTCTCTACGATGCAGCGCTAGAAAGGACGTGGTCAGGGAAGTTGGCTAACAGATGGATGAGACCCTACCGCGTAGTCGGAACACTGAGTTGGGGAGCCTATACGATTGCGGAGTTAGATGGGTCCAAGTGGAAGGATCATGTGGCAGGGGCTAGACTGAAACTGTTTAGGTCAAAGGAAACCCCTTCTTCTGCCATGAGACTATCATATCCTAAGGGGAAGGGAAAAGCCAAGGTGTCAGATGAGGGACCTTCGAAACGGTTCGAGATAGGTGAGAGTTAAAAAAAGAGGAAGAGAGTAGAGACCAGGAAAGTGAGGGGCTTAACGCTAGGTGAGAAAATGAGATGGTTTTTCGTGCTACGAAAACCCAAGAGTAGAGTCCGCATGAGACGAGGTGGCGCGTCTGCTGCGCCGTCATCCTCGCGAAGAAAGAAATTGAGGAATATTCTTATATCAAAGTCCAAATGACTACGACATAAGAGAGGGAAGAAACATCCTCTCAGTACTAGAGTTCCCAAAACGCCAGACAAATAAGCGCAAACATAAGAGTCGTGCTCGAGTAGTCCGTCTGAAGCTGATTCGATTCGTCCGATTATGGCGGTACGGGCTCGACGGGGGCGTCGAGAGGAGGTCCGGGCTTGTTTGTCGGGTGGCCGAAGGTCAGTCGGCCACCCTAATTTCAACAGATTGACCCTTAGATTAATTGCCTAAAGGAGGATTGACCAGGACTTTTGTCCGAACCATCGGGTGAAATTAGGGGTCGAAAAGGGACCCCTAATGTTCTCCATGACAGGCATTAGCACAGACCCTTGAAATCGACGAAACGAACAACCACGGTTGTCGCGCCTAGTACCCATGGTTCTCGTCTGTTCCGAGGCTAATTCCGGAGCAGGTAGCCCTGAGACGGGAATACAAACATGAGCCTCGGCGCGACTCTTTTGCATCAGGCAATTGATGTCGTAGTGACCCCACAAATTTTATTAATTTTTATATCAAAATTAAAAATGGGAGAAAAAATCAAAAACAGTACATGGGAGGAGAAAAACGGGATATTCTTTATTTTATCAAATTTTCTTGGTATTTAATTTTAATGGAGTCGCCCTCATTATTTGTTATTTCCGGTAATAGAATCAAAAATAAGAAAAGAGAATCAAAACTATGAAAGGAAAAGAAAATATGAGTTTTTTTTTTGTATTTAATTAAATTCCATCTGAATTTATTTATGATGAAATTGCTTTTATTTTTGTTATTTTTCATAATAGATTTAAGAAATAAGGAAAATAATGAAAAATGATAAAAAGGGAGAAACCCCACGATTTTTAAATGGTTTACTAATTTTTGCTCAAAATTATTCGCGGTCGGGTTTAACCCCGAATTATTTATTTACTCTATTCCTGACGATTCTTTCTATTTCTCGACGATTGAGATTGCTCGCATGACCTACCTGATTTCCCTAATTCCTAGCCTCGCCGCAACCTGTGTGTTATGAGTGCAGGGTGGATGGACGGCGTGGTGTTACCGCCATGTTACTTGATTGTGCCGCACGACTCTATTGCGTCGGTGTGGTCGCCGCTTCGGTTTGGACACATGGTTCCGGGAGGTTCGGTACTATTACGGGATTGCTACATTCTACGGTATTCGACATATTTCAGGCACGGTATTGGGTCGGCATCGGTGTGGTACACGCAGCTGCAATATTTTCAGGCTCGGTACTGGCATGGTGAATACTAGGTTGGCATGACTACAGATTTGGCATTCCTATGGTGCGGGTATTGGCATGGTGGGCCTGCGATATAGTACGCTATTCTGCATTGGTCTGGGATGGCTGGTGGATCAGAGGGTATGGTGCAGCGGTTCCAGACAGTGGTATTGACTGCATTATACGATTTCCGGCACAGGGTGGTGTAGAAGGCTGCCACGGTTTGGGCTGGTGTAGCACTAGGACTGCACACTGCGGTCTGATCACAATTTTCAGGATTCGGCATTGGTACGGCACCCACACGGTCTATGTTGATTGGAACGATATGCTGAGCGGGGGCTCAGGGTTTACGACTCAAAGGTCTGGGACCGATCACCTCCTGTTTACATTGGGCCACTGGTTTAGGCCCTTGTCGCCGACCAGGCGAAACAGCTATGGTGAGGCTCGCCTCCAGAGCCAGGCAAGCCTGATACCGAGGGTACCGCCTCTTTCCTTTTGGCTGAAGCCGAGGCCACTACTGAATATACTGGGGGCAGCTGAAGTCAGTGGGCATTTGAAACAGGAGGCGGGCAAGGTGTACACAGCCCACGCTTACGCCAGTATTTCGTGCAGGGTTTGGAAAGCTCGGTTGAGGGCACAACCCATGGGAGTTTGGACAGGGCTGGCACATACAGACGGGGGCAGAGGAGAGCGGGGAAATGAGCCTGGTCATCGCCCACATGTGCGTAAAACTGTTCGAGGGACAGACTGGGAGCAAACATACAGGTACTGGAGAGGGGATGCGCGAGATGTGCGCTGCCCGCCCTTGGGATAGCTCAGGGGAGTTCAGTTCAACAAGAAGGTGTCAGTGCGCTAGGTGTCCGCAACGTTAGACACAGAGAGCTTGGGGTCGGGGTCGGAAAGCCGCTTGGTGAGGCGGTCAAAGCTACCCGGCGTACCCTGCTCATGGAGGACATCGCGGGCAGTACCACGGGCAACATCCGAGGTAAGTTTGGTCTCGCCACGGAGTGCATGGGGATTCGCTGTTTGAGGATGGGGTATTGATCTGCCCGCAAAACAAACCAGATACAGGGAGAGAACAGGGCGCCGATCTGGCCGCTGCAGCGGATTGCATACAAGGAAGAATATGGCTGATCTGTTCGCTGCCACCACTTGAGTACGTTTTTGAACATTGCCCTTTAGTTGGCTCGCTGCAGCGGCCTGCATACATGGGGGAAAAGGGGGCTGATCCACCAGTTGCCCCCTGCTTGAGTACATGTTGAATATTGGGCGTGAATCTGGCTGCTAAAGCTATCTACATACATGGGCAGAACTGGACACTGACTTCTTCGCTTTAGCAGCCGCTCACAAGAGAGAAACGGAAGGTTGATTTGACTGTTGCCACTGCGGGCGGCCATTCTGAAAAATCGGAGGCTGCTTCGGCTGCAAACTCTGCCCTGAATACACTGAGGGCCGAAATCGTTCTTGGCAATGGAAACCAGGTAGCTTACTCGAACTGGGCTCGCCGATCGAACGGGCTAGACAGGTAATAAATAATTATTTTCCCTCGGCGTGGCTGATCTCAGGGTTCACCGATCAAAGACGGGGGGTAGAAAAGTCAGAGAGAGAGAGAGAGAGAGAGAGAGAGAGAGAGAGAGAGAGAGAGAGAGAGAGAGAGAGAGAGAGAGAGAGAGAGAGAGAGGGCCCAGGACGAGCGAGTGGCGCACTGACTGAGAGAGAGAGCGGGGAAGGTTTAGCGATTGAGAGGGTGAAAGTGAGTTGAGTGAGAGTCAGGGTGAGGAAGGGACGATGATCAGCCACAGTGGGTGATCATCTCTTCACTCAATACATCTATCCCACGCGGTTGACCCCCATCATTTTGAAGCGAGCTAACTCTAACGGCTTGATAGCCCTTGAGTAGGGCCACCGAGCGTGGACGGACTAGAGAAACGTGGTTCCCAAAAGACCAAACGGATCCGGACAAACACCGTTGATCTAACCGCTCGTGGGCGGAGAAAGGCGTTGTGGTCGCGTAAGGTTGGGTAGAAGGGAGAGAGTTCAGGGGAGGCAACGGAGAGAATGAGAAGTTACATCATGTACATCTGCTCTGAGTAAAACCAGTCGATGGGCTCGCTGGCACGCCATTACATCTAAATTCTAGTTCGCTAACTCACTGAAATTTTGAAAATTCGGACCTGTTGATTGGTCCGCCAGTCTTCCGAACGAGGCTGTTGATTCGGTTCGCTGACTCACTGAAATTCAGACCTGTGGTATGATCTGTTCACTGAAATTTTGAAAATTCGGACCTGTTGATTGGTCCGCCAGTCATCTGAACGAACCTGTTGGTTTGGTTCGCTGGCTAATTGCAAATCAGTATTGTGGGATGGTCTGTTCACCCTCGGAAATTTGGGCCTGTTGATTGGACCGCCTGCCATTTGAACGAGTCCGCAGTAAACAAGCTCTTTCAAAAAAATGTACAAAAATCGGCAGACTGGTGCTGTTTTCAAACGTTTTGTGATATGACTGAAAGCTGCTGTTCTGTTCCCTCTGCCGTACATACTAAAATCTGAGATCCGGCGAAAAGGAGTCTGCGCAGGCTCTGGTGCCTGATTACAGAATTACCGGGTCGCGCAATTTGAAATATTGTATCCCTTTTACCATCTATTCTCACTACAGTTTTCGAGTACCCCAACCTTGCTTTCAGAAGGGACTGTGATAGGCAGTCTTAATCTTATCGTCCTGCTGGTCGCTGTGGACCTCTGAAGCGGGCGCAGCGAGTGACAGGCGCTGTTGCCCTTGGCTTCAGCGAACAGTAGATGACCCTCCCCGGGTTCCTCACAGCGGGGCCGGTGGAGTGGGGGCGGATTGCGGGCGCTGTTAGAGAGATTTGTGGGCTGAGTGGGAAGACCACAAATCATGCAAGAACAAATGGGGGGATCAGTCGCGTGATTGGAAGAAAATATTTGGCTGGCATAAGAGGACTGGTGAGGAGAATTACTTCCACATGTCAGCCGAGCGCCGCAAGAAAGAGGACCTGCCAATAAGATTTGAGGAGGGCCACTACACTGTCATCCTTTCCTTCCTTTGGAAAAAGGAGTCTATCGCCGACAATCGGGTATCGGATGCACACAGGAGAAACATGCAAGGTCCGTCCTCTGATTCAGGTGGTGGGGACACACGTCCATGGTCGCAGGCATCAGAGGGTGAAACTAGTTTGCCTTCCAGCGGGCGACGTGCCAGGGAAGATGCTGACGATGGTCCAAGGAAGTGGGTGTCGCCTTCCAAAGGGATGCTTGAGATGTCGAAAGCTTTGACGACCACCACCGAGCGGATAGCGGAGGCAGTGGAGAGGCAGGCCAATACTGAGGAGAAGCAAGTTGATGTGCTTGTGAGGATGGCTGACATAGAGGAGCGTCGACTTGAGATGGAAGAACGTCGCTCAGTTGCAGAAACGTCGAATCAAGCTAACCTAATTGATGTGTTTGCTAAACTTGCGGAGAAACTTTGATTTGTGTGTGTGTGTGTGTGTGTGTGTGTGTGTGTGTGTGTGTGTGTGTGTGTGTGTGTGTGTGTGTGTGTG